CACACAGTCTCACACACGCAGCCCCCGATGTCCACAACCACTAGCCCCGCCGCCACAACCTTCTCCTCTCTTTCACACACAAACACACACTCTCAATTCACACACACACCCATAGAACACACATGCACACACACTCAGCCCTGCCGGTTAATGTCGCCGACCACCGCTAGTTTCCACTGTCCCCATCATCGCCGCCTTTCTCCATCTAACACGACCTCCCTCTTTTCTTCAGTCACGTCAGAGGTCCATCAACTGTTGTGGGTTTCGCCGGAAATTCAAGCTTGATTTGGTCAATTCGAGCCCATCGGTAGCTCCAGAGAACGAATTTCGCCGGAAATTCGAGCTTGATTTGTAGTTTTATCTTTTTGTAAATTTGGTAAGTCTTAGGGACTTAATTGTAATTTTATAAATTTTAATATATTAGAACTTAGTTCATAGATCAAATTTATGATTTATCAAAAAAATTAATAAATGCATGATAATAATAAATAAAGTGGATAATATCTTGCATGTATATGCACATAAAAAATTAAACAAAGTACCAAAAGATTATAATTATAATTATATGAACGTTTTAATAAATCTCAAAAGTAGAAGTTCTGATAATCTTTGAATGTTTACTAATGTCTAAAGTTACTAGCCGCGCATCGTGATGTGAAAAATTAAAATTTATATTTTTTCTCGATTAACCTCTACTAACTAGTAGTAGCGTCAAGCAATGGTCGAACCAATGAGGAGTGTGAATTAAATCATGATTGTTTTTTTATTAATCAAAATTATAAAAGCAGTAAAAGAGGAAATTTATGATTTAATAATTAAACTTATTAAGTTCTAGTGAAACAATTAAAATCTAAACAAAGAAACAAAAATAAAATAACTTAAATTAAGAGAAATTTTTTAGTTCATGGTTTAGCAAAAGACCTCGCTTGACTAATTTAATCAATTGTGACTTCAAGTTTCACTATATTTCGAAATTATTAGCTTTAGGTAACAACACGCTCAGTTATCGGATTTTCGGTTTATATTTAGCCGAAACACGTTCTCGGGTTAAACCTAACTACCAGATAGTCTAGAATACGCTCTTTAGATTTAATGAAGTTGTAGCTTGAAGATATAGGAAAATAGGATAAACGAAGTAGTAGACTCACATGATCGGTCTACAATTAGGTTGTGTTATTCTCAATAGTTTTCGGCTATCGTTTGCTACTAACGAATCAAATTCAACAACAATTACAGATCACAGGACTAATTCTAATGTTAGACATGAAGAATATATTTAAGTGATATCCACATAACTAGAAATAAAATAACAGTCAATAAAAAACAGTCAATCACTGAAATTAAATAATGTAGTCAAGTCGTAAGGTTTTGATATCCACAGAACTAGAAATAAAAAATATCCTAACATAATAAATAATAAAAGAAATAGAGTAAAATCATCTCATTCCGTGTGTGGTGTGGCCTCCCTCCGCGATTGGTCAACTTCCTCCTCCATTTGTGTCTCTTTCATATCTCTCCAATTTTTTATTGTTATCATATATGTATATATAGTTGTAATATATTCTGCGATATTTGATAGGTTGTAATTAGGGATTTTCCATATCTTGTAATTAGGTATTTCTATACTTATCATGTAATTGGTGGTCTATTATAACCTTCTCTGATCATCGATGAGATGAATCAGTTTTCCCACAAATCTCTTTGTCATGGTATCAAAGCGTGGTTAATTTGTTTTTAACAATTTAGCACTATTGTTAAAATTTTTCACCAATTTATCAAGTAACTGGTGGATTTATTTTCTAACAATTTAGCATTGTTGTTAAAATTTTTCACAGTGATAATGGGACTAAGTTTACCGTCATGCGTGACTATTTTTGTCGTGAAGGTATTAGTCACGTTACTTCTTCCCTGGAGCCNNNNAAAAAGAAGGGCTAGTCGAACATAAACACCAACACATTTTCAATGTTGCTCGTGCATTACGTTTTCAGGCTCAATTGCTGCTTGAATTTTGGGGACATTGCGTGCTACCGGCTGGATATTTAATTAGTCGTACACCTCCTTCTGTTTTGTTTGGAAAAACACATTATAAAATGTTATATGGCAAAAATATTGATTTCGCGCATTTACAAGTCTTTGGTTGTCTGTGTTATGTACATAATCAAACTTCACGAGGAGAGAAATTTGCGAGTTGGAGTCGTAAATGCGTGTTTGTAGGTTATCTTGTTGGTAGAAAGGGATGACGTGTGTATATGACTTGGATAATGGTTCTTTTTCGGTCTCTCATGACGGAGAATTCTATGAAACTGAATTTCTTTTCTCGGAATCTACCACACCAGTCACTCCTATCACTTCTACTGACATTTGGCCTGTTGTGTCTGATGATGATGACGTTGGGCCTCTTCATTCTTCTTCTGACTCTGGGACACGTAGTGGTGTCGATGATAGGGAGTTCTACCTTACCCGACGAGTTACTTGGTCGTGGTTGTCAAGTTAAGCGTCACTCCTCTCGGCTCACTGATTTTGTGTCTCATATCGTATTTTCCTCGTCCCCCCTACTGTTTCTCATCTCTCATCACCATCCTCAAGTACGCCTTATCCCATAGTAGAATATTTATCTTGTGACTCTTTATCTCCCGGCCATAAGGCATTTTATGCAGCTATGACTTCCGCTGGTGAACCTCAAACGTTCGCCGAGGCGGTTTGAGATAGTCGATGGTGCTCTGCCAAGCATCTTGAAATTCAATCTTTGGAGAATACTCACACATGGGATGTTGTGCACCATCTGTCGGTAAGCACGCGATTGGTTGTAAAAGGAATTATAAATCTAAATACCATTCTAACGAATCTGTTGAGCGCTATAAGGCGCGCTTGATTGTTTTGGGTAACAAGCAGTTGGAGAGGATTGACTATCAGGAGACTTTTGCACTAGTTTCTAAGATGGTCACGGTCTGTACGATCTTTGTTGTTGCGGAGACTCAAAGGTGGGAGGTCCATCAGATGGATGTTCACAATGATTTGGAATTTTATATGAAACTCCCTCCTGGTTTTCACTCTCTTCGGATTTGTGATACTTGTAGACTATGTCGCTCGTTATATGGCTTGAAGAAAGCTCATCGTTGTTGGTTTGAAAAGTTTGCTACTGCTATAAAGCAGTATGGTTTTCAACAGTCATTTTCTGATTACACCATATTCATTCTTCATCGTAATTCTATTCGTTTGCATGTCCTGGTTTATATTGATGATCTCATTATTTCTGGGAGTACTCCTTCTGCTATTGTTGCCTTTAAAGAATACTTGGGTCGTTGTTTCCATATGAAATATTTGGGGACGTTGAAGTACTTCTTCGGTCTTGAGGTCGCTAGGAATTCCTTTGGCATATTTCTATGTCTGCGGAAATATACTCTTGACATTATTGTCGTGACAGGCTTACTTGGCGGCAAACCGACTGACTTTCCTATGGAGCAGAATCATCTGCTTTTCTTAGCCGAGGGACCATATTTCTATGATCCTGAAAAGTATCGACGACTGGTAGGACGCTTAATTCATTTAGATGTCTTATGTTGTGCATATGCTCTCCTAGTTCATGCATCAGCCTCGTCAAACACACTGGGATGCTGCAGTTCGTGTGGTTCGTTATTTGAAAGGTACTCTGAGCCAAGGTATCCTCTTTCGCTCGGATTCTGACCTACAAATTTATGGTTGGTGTGACTCCAATTGGGAAACGTGCCCGACCACCTGTCGATCTCTCACGGGTTGGTTCATACAACTTGGCGACTCTCTGATATCATGGCGTACTAAGAAGCATCACACTATTGCTCGCTCTTCCGTCAAGGCTGAGTATCATATTATGGCGACACTTGTGTTAAAGTGGGTACGAGGCTTGCTATGCAGTTTTGGTGTGGCGCATTCTCAGCCTATGAGGATCCACTGCGATTGTCAGGCGGCTCCCATATTGCCACTAATCATGTCTTCCAACCATAAACCATGGCCCAAGTGCTCTTTTCCTTTGACAAAACTCTCCATGAGTCCCAACCATAAACCATGGCCCACTTATCTCATTTTTTTGTTGCACCAAAAAACTAAGACTAAACTGACATACGACAGCTTGTTTGCGGAAGAAGATGAACAAAACGCCTTTGGAGGGTGATCTGGTCTTGGAGTGGTCCTGAGATAGTCCGCCACTTTTGTGGTTGGTATGGTGGTAGCGTTTATTAACCAACACTGGACGTTGCCGCCAGCGATTGGCTACATATAGAACATGTGATGTGTGTTATAAAAATGAGGAATCTCTGCTACATGTACTCAGACTGTCGAGCTGTTTGTGTGGTTTGGCGGTGTTTCGTCCTGGTTGACCAATGGCAAATCTTCACGTCCCTGACTTTAGAAGATTGGTTGTTCCTGAACTTGGTAATGCTGGGATTTAAAATTGAAGACCATATACGCACTCTCAAATAACGAATAAACCACTAAAACCAATTTTGAAGTTTTTAATTATTACATCTAACACATAAATAAACCTGTGCTAAATCCTAGAAACCAATACTAAGAAGTTCTCAACTAAATATACAAATACTAACAATAAATAAACTCTCAAAAAACAAGACTGTGCCTACGTGAAGCAAGTTATTTCCAAGATTAAAGAAGTGGAAGAATATTAATACAACACTCAAGATAGACAATACCATTAGTTTCAACGATATGTTAAATTCCAGGGCGAAGCCAGAAATTTTGGTTGCTGGGGTCGGGACAAATTTTTTTTTTTTGCGCACATTCATCTTGCACCCAGAATTTTTTTTTTTTGCCTTATCTTGCACCTCCCTGCGCACAAATTTTTTTTTTGCCTTATCTTGCACCCAGAAAATTATATTAACATAATAATCTATACTTAGCAGTAAAATTTCTGCCCAGGCTCGCCCATATATAGATCTGCCCCTGCTGCCGGGTCTTATTATTTTTTTAATGGGGTCTTACACGGTGAAATTTTGTTACGTACAAGTGGTTCAACGCAAAGCGTCGGTGTCGGACGACCCCAGCCATTGAATCTGGCTTCGCCCCTGTTAAATTCGACCAAAGAAAAGTCATACCACTATCAATGTACCAAAATNAAGAACAACCTTATATAAATGATATCAAATCAAAAGCCAACAACTTGGGCAATTTGAAGTATGGAATTATGTTAAGTATGATATATTAGTTAAAGTTACTTATAAATTACCTCCAAAGTCATTGACATATTGAGAAAGTGGTTTCACTAATTTGATAAAAAAAATAAGATTTTTGTTAGTAACCACCTGTATTTCAAATATATGCATACTTTCAGAATTAATATTTTATATATTTATTTTTGTTATAAAAGTATAAAAAACTATGAGAAGTCGATTTTGAGCCGCTAGACAATAATTTGTGACTTGATAAGACATGGATCCGGTCCAAGTTCAGCTTTTTAAAAAAATTGAACCGTCGGTTCATGTTCTGAACTAGAATTGACGTTCGACACTAATTAAAAAAATAATGTTTTATTGTTTTTTAATTTTTTTAATTTTTTTTGAGCCGACCCTGAACCGTCAGATTGGTTTGAAACCGGGACCGTCAGTTTGTTGAGCCGACTTTTAGTCTTTCTTGGGACGGATCACCAAAATGACGTTGAACCAGCGATTTTAAACCGAAACCTGAGTTTTGTCCACAACTAAATCAGAACATTTTCCCAACACAATAAAATAAAATAAAAATAAATAAATAAATAAAAAATAATGTCATCGAGTACGAGTGCACGTCTACTTGAATTTCATAATT